TTGTATATCAGAAGGAGAGGCAGTTTTTAACGCTGATCATGTGGTACTATATGGGAAAATTGGGCAAAGTTAAATTAAATTTAGAAATTTATATTATGTCTGCAAACTAGTGCCCTTATTTAGTAACAACCCTCACGAAATTCAGGGAGTATTATCTATCGGCAATACTATTTTGTAAATTTCTTCAATGATTTGATGAAAACATAATTCTGGATTTTTCTTGGACCATGAAGAACAACCTTGAACTGAACAATAATAGTTTAACAGTTTCCTCTTTCTATCCATAATTGCTGAAATTTTCCTCACAGAATTTTCTTAGAATAAGTGTTCAAAAAACGAACACTAAACACAGTTTTAAATAAAATACAAAACGAATTGTCACACACAGAAGAAATGTTTACCTTGTTTCGCTAGTATCACTTGTCACCGCCAGAGGGCGAGCTCTTAGCTGCATTCGCGAATACAGTTCGTTGAGAAATGAGGTTAAGCTGGTCGCTATAAGCTACTCCCTACGTCCAATGTGTCAGAGCCAACTTCGACCACGTTTTCATTTGAACGCTCGTTACATCGCACTGATGGTATACAGGGCTGGAAAATCCACATGATCCATCTGCTTTTACATGAGAGCGACAATGTAAAGTAAAGAAATCCGTGCGATAGACAAGGATGGCTATAGTGAAGACGTTTCATAAACTGAATAGTCACCACCCGTTTCGGGTTAGAAGTGGGAGTGACTATTCAGATTATGAAACCACCCTTGTCTATCGCACGGATTTCTATGAATTACTTTATCGTTCTCACGTAACGGCCGATGTACCATGGGAACTTTACGAACCTGTATATCCGCAGCGTGGTTGTGACCAAAACATATTACTTAGTCGGTTCGGTTCTTGCATTCTCTTTTACGTAATGATGTCGACTGTCGAGAAATTCTTAGCCAACTTTATTTTCTAGTTCCTATCCTAGAACGTCAAATCATTCTTGGACTACCTTTTACACTCCTATAGTGTCAGAAATGCTGATTCTTGCATATCCCGATCTCGCCGCCGCGCTGGCCGGGCCAACTAATATAAACAAATAGGAGACCATGACCTAGACCACCACCGAGAGGAGGAACAAGGAACACTCTGACTGCAGATTAAACTACGAACAGTCGCATAATTGTCGGGCTATTAAAGCTGTAATATTAAGTGAATATAAAATTATTGGAATTCCGGATTTTATTTTAATATTTCTTACATCAGAAGTGGGATCTTCCTGTGCGCTTTGTTGACAATATTTATATTTAAAAATATATAAAAGTTATTAGTGCAATGGCTGACGAGGCTGAGAGTGCTTGGAGCCAAAGTGGGGCCTTGACTCATCACCGGGGTCGAACTGATGGTAGTCCTAGTCTTGAGGGCGAAGGTGATACAAAGAGAAAACATCACTCACGAGGGGATGGTATTTCTCACCACGAACGAAGACGACATTCTCGGGGTGAGGCTGAAAGTGAAGAAAAGAGGAAGGGTCGCTCACGTAGGAATGATAGTTTACACCATGGACGAAGGCGACATTCTCGAGGTAGCCCTAGAAGTAGGTCTAGAACGAGAACTTCTTCTGTTCCGTCTGTCAGGTCCTTGTCTGAGAGTTTTTCTCAAATAGGTGCAGCCATGGTAGCTGGATTAGACATGTTGGTCGAAAAGAAAATCCCTGATGTAAGTAACGTTTCTATTAATACTAATATTATCCCGATTTTTGATCCATTACTTCACGATGTTGATCAATGGGTAAATAGCGTAAATGAATTTACGTTAATTCACGGGTGGGACGATAAAACAACCTCTCACTTGGCCTTATCTAAATTACGACTGAATGGTGTCAAATATTGCAAGAAAAATTTAAATGTAGGCGGGATTTGTATAAATTATTTCAAGATATAATATTCTGTAAACCGCAAATAAATGAGCCGTCATATGAATATGTATTCCGTAAAATGGCGCTAATACATAAATTAAAACTTCCAATAAGTGATGAAGACCGTGTAAACTTGATAATGGAAGGTGTTGATGATGTGCGAATCAAATTTACTGTCGAAACCGTTAACATTAAAGACCCTCATGTTTTGCAAATCATTTTAGGCTTCTTGATT